ACACACGCACACACACACACAGCATAAACCCCTGTAGAACTTAGAGAAAACACACACACACACACACACTTACCTTAAGCTGACTAAAAGAGCCTGCCTTTTAAAGCAGACTTGCTTTAATATGTTTGAATTGAGATGTTTACATTTTTTTCACTGTCAGTGGCAATGATGCCCACGAACTTAAGTTCAGTTTGGTGAAACAAGGAAAGTTTCATTTTGCACCCCCATGTTTGTGACTGTGTCAACATCACTCCTATTACTCCTCTCGAGATGGCCACAGTCCCTCCAAAGGATCTGGTCTTCACATTCACTAAAGAGAATCTGCCGCCACTTTACCAAACTGCGAGCTCCCTGTGGTACCCCAAACACATCCACGCTTCTCTGGGGGAGCTTGGGGGCTCCACAGCAGTAGTTAAGTGGTTGTTATTATTCTTAAGTAATGAGTCATAAGCGCCACCAAAGGCAGTGGGCAATTTGAGGTGGCACACTTAGGGAGTCCAAATAACGAGCGTAAGGGGCGGAAGTGTATCAAGTCTTCTCTCTTTAGGTGGTAGGAACAGATCCCCAAGGGGCTGGGAAGAGTTACCATGGGGGCTGGCCTCCCTCCAGGGGATCGTACAGGGCAGTGAGGTCTCAGGGTGGGGAGATTCTCTAGAGCCCACCCAGCCTCTTCCTGCCCCCAGGGCCCGCTCTCACCACTTGAGTCATCTTGAGGCACAGTTTCTTATGTGCTGCTGTCAGCATGGCCAGGGCCCCTGCGGCTGCATTCTGCACCTTGTCATCATCCTCCCCACAAAGCAGCACCACCAGCTTCAGCCGGTCATTCCCATCAGCCAGGAACCTCTCCTGTACCTAGGGGAGGCAGGCAGATGGCTCAGAGAAAAATGCCCCCACCTGCCCAGCCTGGAGAGGGAAAGATGCATCCTGAGCCACAGTGTCTGACCCAAGATCCCTCGGAGTTTTCCTTTGAGCGGCTCGCCCATGACACCTCCTCCAGGAAGTCTTCTCTGATTAGCTGAAGGGGCTACCAACTCCTCCAGCTAAAAGGTTAAAGAGAATAAGGGATTCCCCACATAGCATCCTCCATCACTTCTTTTTGCATTCAACTCTCCACCCCTCGGGAAAGGGCAGGCCCAGACTCTTGAAGGGGAGATGTTCCTGAGGAGCCGTGTTTCTCTTCTCTTTGGGGAAGCCCAGACTTTTTCTCCCACCACAGATGGGCCTTCAGGGTCTGCCATAAAATGACTCTGCAGTCCCTGAGACACAGAGGCTTGGCAAGCAAGGGACAGTTGTGTAGTTTATGTGGTACTCAAGAGCTGCTGTACCATTCACCAGGTGAGGAATGCAGCTTCCCAAGAACCTGAAAGCCAGGAGAAGAGCCTCCCAGGGCCCGGGGACCAAATGCGGCCATGAACTAGTTTTCCTCATGGAAGGCAAGTGATAGGGGTTACTTCCAGGCCATCATGGCTGAGTGCTACAGGGGTCTCCCCCGTGCCGTGGTCTGTCTCCCCACTCGCCATCTGAACGCAGACCACTCCCAAGGTGGCAGAGGGGTAGACAGTTCTTTGTGGGGCAGGGCTCTGGTGATACTTACTGATGATCAAAGAAGCCTGGATCCCCAAGTCATTGCTTCGAAGTGAACCTTCCAACCCCAACGTGAGCAAGAAATGATGTGAGTGAGAAATGAGCTTCTGTCCTGTTGGGACCACTGAGCATTTTGATTTGGGTTGTTGTGGCAGCTGGTGCTCCTTTGGGAAGGCGATTCCCCCTCCCATGGCTCACCCCTCCCCTTTCTTTGGACATACTCTCTCCTCCCACTTGGCTGCCGGGCCCCCAGCCCAGCCTCAGGCCAGCTCCCTGGTGACCCGTGGTAGCTTTATTTCTTTTGATTAACAGGCTTTCATGGATCAGGTTTTCCTCCTATAACAGGGAGAAGATCCAAGACTTGAGGGAAGAATTGAGGGTGGGATGGGGGTACAGCTCAGTGGCAAAGCGTGTGCTTAGCATGCACGAGGTCCCGGGTCCAATCCCCAGTACCTCCATTAAAAAAATAGTAATATAGTGATAAAAAATTTTAAAAAGAATTGAGGGCAACAGAGTGGCTCTCAAACTCACCCCTACGTAAGCACCCAGGAGGGCCACTTGGCCTGGTTCTCATGGTAACGAAGGACCTCAGATTTCCACCCTATTGTTACCTCTGATGAGGCTAATACCTACAGACACAGCAGTGTTCCAGCAGGATGGAAAGAAAGACATTCATTCATCGCATGGTGATAATTTATCCCAGTACTGGACCATGAAGCCACTGACACGTTCTGAATTCATTTTGTTTTTACAAATCCTGTAATTATCCTGTGAATTGCATTATCCTAGTGCATTGCAGTTTCTATGGAAACAGTGATCGTTCATTAAATGGTAATGTTTAACATATTCTAAAATTGTTTGTAACTGTTTTTGCCCTGCTTCATTCTTTTATATATGTGGAGCTGCAGCAGTTGCAAGTGGTCCAGCTTCTCTTGATTGTAAGAGGCCCTGCCTATGAGACTATTTAGGAAGTAACTTGGGGAAATGGCACTTTGACCCCATCCAGCCCAAGCTTTGGGGTCAAAGCCCCAGCTGGGGATGATGTTATTTTGTATGTTTTCCTTTGTCTCCTTTGTGCATGTATTCTCCCGGGGGTCCCTACAGGGAGAGGTGCTGTAATCTAGGAAAGACTCAGGGATTCCTGGGTTCTCTGGCAAAGTGCTACCTTAATACCATTGTAACAGCCCCCAGTCTCACGCCAGGCCCTACCTTGTGGCCGAACTCTCCGTGCCTTGATCAGCCCCCATCCCCATCCTCAGCCCCCCTCACCTCCTTGTTCACCACCATGTTACACATGCACTCGGTGGCCGCCTGCCGCAGCTGGTCATGATTCTCAAACATGTAGTTCTCAATGTCTGGCAAGGCCTTCTCCTTAAAGATCTTCTGCCTAGGGTGTGAGGGGTGGAGAAAGAGAGGCCACTGAGTCCTCTGCAGTGAGCATTTGGTGTTTTTGGCCACCCCTGGGCCATCCCACATCCTTAGCCAACATGGTGTAGGTGGCATTAATCCCACCCCCACCTCCAAGAGGGGCACCCAGTGACAGAGCCCAGCATCTTGGCCATAGCAACAGGGTCTGGGATAAACAAGTCACCCTGCTGGAGATTTTTTTGTATCATTGCTGGGGAATGGCTTTCTTTCTCCTGTTGGGTATGAAGCCAAGAAGGTATGAGATCTGGAGCAGCCCTTGTGATTATGAGACAGGGGAGAAGCCCATCTGAGAATTAAGACAATACAGACAGAAGACATGGAGAGAAATAGGACCTGGGACGGCTTTGACACCCCTGTATCAAGCCGCACCTGAATCCGGACTACCCCAGACTTTTTATTTACACGAGTCATTAACTTTCCTTTATGTTTGGAGTTAGAGTAAGTTTTCTCCACTCACAATCAAAAGAATTTCAACCCAATACATTCCATATACTCCATGATCCCCCATTTCCGAGAAGGAATACCTGGTATCCCCACCCATCCACTTGCTCTCTTTTTTTCACTACTTCAGATGAAAGTGTCTTTATAGTTCCTTTGACTTTGTACACTCAATGTGGTTTTCCAAGTGCTAACTCAGATCCCTCTCACAGTCATTTCTACCCCCTGCCTTTGATCCTGTCCCCCAAGGAAAGCACACACAGTACACATGACATGTTCAATTTCAGGACGCCTCTCTTCACCCCTGCCCCCTCCACATCCCACTCACCGGAGTTTGTCACTCCGCCCAGACAGGTTGGTGAGGCCCAGGAGAGCCTCGTAGTTCTGGAGCCCGTCCCTCTCTGTGTCCAGGAGTCTCACAAGGGGTCGCACCACCTCATACACCTATGGGGGAGAGGGTCAAGGTGTGGTCGGATGGATACCGTGTTCCCCCAGTCCTTTATAGTTGCCCAGCTCTAGAATTTCCAAAGCACCTGCCTGCCCACTGTGTGATTCAGCCTTCGCAGTGCTCCTGAGAGGCAGGATTAGTTCCTTTACTTTGCAGACGAGAGAACTGAGCTTCCGAGAGGATAGCCTTTTTAGTTCAGGCAGAGCCAGACCTGGAATCCACCCACCTCCAATTCATTGGCCTCTTCGTGAGGGCACCATGCCCCCGCTCCCAGGCCAGGGGTAGGGTGACAAGGGGAAAGGTCCTTGGGAGCAGAGGAGACTCCTCCCATCACCCCCTCTGACCCCCCCAGTCGCTCACCCGCTCCCCAGGGAAGGCGATGTCCGGATTGGAGACCGCGGCGATCTTTGCTAGGGCGTGGGCTGCCTTCACTTTGCCCACATCTGTGCCCTCCAAAGCCAGAGGAATCAGAGCCTGCAAGAAAGGGCACAGTCACTCCTCGGTCACAGACATGCAGAGGCCTCTATCCGCGCCCTCCCTCTCCAGCTGCTGTCTGTTCCACCCGAAGTTCAGGAAGACTCAGCAAGGTAGTCAGTTCTTGAGCATCACAGAAAACACTGAAATTCTTAATCACAGATTCACTCCCCCAGTTCCCAGCACACGTGGAGGTCTTCACTCACACTCTCCCCTACCCATCCGTACGTTTGTTTGGCTTTTGGAAAAATAAACAGATCGATACGCTGATGGTTTGCTTTCTGCCTAAGTCAAACCTAATCAAAACAGCAGTCATTTATTGAATGCCTACCGTGAGCCAACACTTTAAGTGAATTTTCTCTAATCCTTGTGACATTCTGCAAAGTGAGTGTGTGATTTTTTTTTTTTGCCACAAACATTTGGTTTTATTTTATTTATTTATTTATTTGTTTATCTGAAGTACAGTCAGTTACAGTGTGTCAATTTCTGGTGCACAGCACAATGTCGCAGTCATGCATATACATACATATATTCGTTTTCATTTTCTTTTTCATCAAAGGTTGTTTCAAGATATTGAATATAGTTCCCTGTGCTATGCAGAAGAAATTTGGTTTTTTATCTATTTTTATATATAGTGGTTAACATTTGCAAATCTCAAACTCTCAAATTTATCCTTTCCCACCTCCTTTCCCCTGGTAACCATAAGATTGTTTACTATGTCTGCGAGTCTGTTTTGTAGATGGGTTCATTAGTGTCCTCTTTTTTCTTTTTTCTTTTTTCTTTTTTCTTTTTTAGATTCCACATATGCGTGACAGCATATGGTACTTTTCTTTCTCTTTCTGGCTTACTTCACTTAGAATGACGATCTCCAGGTGCATCCATGTTGCTGCAAGTGGCATTATTTTATTCTTTTTTATGGCTGAGTAGTATTCCATTGTATAAATATACCACCACTTCTTTATCCAGTCATCTGTCGATGAACATGTAGATTGCTTTCATATTTTGGCTATTGTATAAAGTGCTGCTGTGAACATTGGGGTGCATGTATCTTTTAAAAATTAGAGTTCCCTCTGGATATATGCCCAGGAATGGGATTGCTGGACCATATGGTAAGTCTGTTTTTAGTTTTTTGAGAAATCTCCATACTGTTTTCCATAATGGCTGCACCAAACTACATTCTCACCAACAATGTAGGAGGGTTCCCTTTACTCTACACCCTCTCCAGCATTTATCATTTGTGGACTTTGGAATGATGGCCATTCTGACTGGTGTGAGGTGGTACCTCACTGTAGTTTGGATCTGCACTTCTCTGTTAGTTAGTGATATTGAGCATTTTTCATGTGCCTATTGGCCATTTGTATGTCTTTGTTGGAGAATTGCTTGTTTAGGTCTTTTGCCCGTTTTTGGATTGAGTTGTTTGTTTTTTGGTTATTAAGTTGTATGAGCTGTTTATGTATTTTAGAAATTAAACCCTTGTCAGTCTCATCATTTGCAAATCTTTTCTCCCATTCCGTAGGTTGTCATTTTGTTTTCCTTATGGTTTCCTTTGCTGTCCAAAAGCTTATACATTTAATTAGGTCCCATTTGGTTTTGGGGTTTTTATGTTTTCTTTTGTTTTGCTTTTGCTTTTATTTCTATTGCCTGGGTAGACTGCCCTAGGAGAACATTGCTAAGATTTCTGTCAGATAATATTTTGCCTATGTTTTCTTCTAGGAGGTTTATCATATCTTGTCTTATAGTTAAGTCTTTAAGCCATTTTGAGTTTATTTTTGTATAGAGTGTGTGATTTTTTTCCCCCTCGTTTTACAGATGAGGAAACTATGGCTCAGGAAGACTAAGTAATTTGCCCAAGGTTATGCAGCTAAAAAGGGGACAAATGAGGACCGGACAACAAGTCTCCTCTAGCGGAGCCCAAGGTCTCTGTTCCTTCCAAAAGCAAGGAGGAAAAATAAGATTCCATAGTAAATCTCATGCCACATCATAAATTCAGACAGAAGTTGGTTTTGGGCACAGACAGCAGAGATCCCTGAATGACCGTATTCCAGGAGGTTGGGTTGGGGCAGGGAGTGCATTATTCTTGGGCCAGGCCAGGAGCATACGCACACACAGACACACAGACACACACATGCATGTGCTCTTCCCCATTGGAGCACCTTCTAGAATGGCAAGAAACTTATCTCGCCCAATTACCTTGCCACCACCTTGAGCCACGATGGTGCCTCGGTCCTTTGGGTTGTCACACAGTGCCAGGAATACCCTGGAGGACAAGGATAAAGGACATTCAGTGCACGAGCCAACAGATTAGACCCAGTGAAACCTTGGGAAGTGCCACCCCTGTGCGCTTGCCCCAAAACTAACCTTAGGAAGATACTGCCATGGACATAAGTGGCTGGGGAGGACATGAGGCCAGATGCAGCTGCAAAGAGCTGCCCTATTTCTGTTCAGGCTCATAACAAATGGCTTCCTGCTACCCGCCACCCAGGAGAAACTTCAACATGGAGGCACCTCAGGACTTCTGTGCTCTGGCCCTTGCCTCCCTCTCTGTCTCATCTAGCACCCCTCTCTCCCCAGGACTTCGTGCTCCAGGCATATTCCAGGAGAATCCTGTCCTCAATCGCTCATTCTCCCTCCATCCTCAGTGTCTTTGCATACGCTGTTCTCTCTGCCTGGAACCCTTCCCTCCACTGCATTTGAGGGGCTCCTTTTTGTTCATCAGGGTTCCCCTGAGTTGTCACATCTTCCAGGAGGCGTTCCAGACTGCCCACCCACCTACCCTCCAGTCTGGCCAGTTGGGTACCACGGCTTGTGCTCCAACCAGCCCTCTATATGTCCCTCCTCGTGGCACCCACTACACTTTATTGTAACTGTGAGCCTGTCTGCCTCCACATCGGGCTGCACATCAGTGCCTTTCATCTCGGGAACTGCAGGGCCTGGGAACCAGGTGAGCAGAATGGACAGTGACCTCTTTCCTCCCAATGCAGTTGCACCTGTGATGGCCCACCTGCCATGTCGCTTCTCAATGCTGACCTCCTTCAGTCTCCTCTCCAGGCCCCCAGTGGCTCATTCCCTCACTTACTCCCCCAGTATCTCTATCTCCCTGCCCAGCCTCCTGCCTCCGGGCCCCTCAGCCCCCAGCCCTGGCCTGCCACAGCCGCACCTGGCCAGCAGCTCTTTGGTCTGGTCGGTGAGGATGGCATTGTCTGCTTTCACCATGCAGGCCAGCGCCGAGATGACACCAGCCTTCAAAAGCCGCTTAACCCGCATGTCTACAAAGTCCTTCTTGTCCTGGGGAGATGAAATGATGGTAAGGAAATCCATCTCAAAGACTCTTCATTCACAGAGGAGTGAAATAGAAGGAGCATCCAAAACACTAGATCACTAGATGACCCATACGTGACTTATCTTGCAGAAGGCTGGCTTTCCATCAGGGTGAGCATGCAGAGGGGAGAGAGGGGAGGTGGGCAGGAGTGAGAGGGGAGAGAGAGCGGACAGAGCTGACATAACAATGGATTGGGTTTTGCTGGAAACCCAGAGTCTGCCCTGGAGTTAAATATTCCATATAGATAATCCTTAGAGTAGCTGGAGAGCTCATGGGAAATCTCTAGAAGCCAAGTTTGAACTTCACGGCAGCAGAACATGCTATACACACTCGCTTGCATGAAAAACCATGCAGCTTTATAAACTGATTTAGAGAATGTTATAGCAAGGGGGAAAACCCCTGGAGTATTTTTCCCAAATTGGGTACAAAATGATGACCACATTCTGATTATAACTATTAAAAGGAAAAAATGCACAGAACAAAAGAGCTTCTGGTGGGTGATAAACAAAAAGGCCGACAGTGGTCAGTGGGGAGAGGATGTAATTGCAGGCAGCCATGTTCTTTCCCTAACTGTCCCCCTTTTTGTTTGTTTTGCATCATGATTATATGATTTTGATCATTTAAAAAAAACTAACTGCTTTACTGGCTAGAAGTGTGATGCACATATATTCACATGCAAACCACACACAAAATACAACTTTGTGTGCAGGGAATCATTGTGGGGAGGGCCGCAAGGGGATTTGTGACATCTGGGCTGCTGCTTAACCACATCCTTCCTCTTCTCATCATTCGTACGCAGATCCCCAAACCCGGATATCCCAGAAAATGAAGTTTTTATAAATGTGGAAAACGTGAAATACAACTGTCTGATGTCCATGAAATCAACACGTAAATTGCAAAACGTTCATCATGGCCTCCATTTGGTCTCTCAGACTACAAATTACTGACTCCCCTTCCCCCTCCCCCTCCACAGAATATTAAAACTAAGAAAAAACAGAGTGCCACCTAGTGGGAGAAACTGACCATGATCCTCTTCAATGTATCTGTATCTTCCACCAAATCCTCCCAGACACAGACTGCACAGCACCTGAACATCACTAACTTTCCTTCAAACCTCTCTGACGGTCTGGTGGTATAGGCCCCCTCCCAGCCACCCCCATCCCCACCTTGGGATGCTCCTCAGGCACGTGCTGCTTGGAGAACTTGGCGAGCTGCACCAGCTCAGGGATGACCTCCTTGACATCGTAGCTGTTGGTGCAGTTCACCAGGGTGGTGGCCACCGAGTACAGGATGGTCTTGTCAGGGGTCTGGAGGCAGGAGGTAGGGGAGAAGAGGGGACAGGCGCAGAAGGAAACTGAGAACAAACCGCTGCTTCCAAGAAGCTTCCTCTCTCGGCTCTTGGCTCTGCTCGCATAAGGTGGGCAGCAGTTTCTCCTGCCCCGTCAACAACACCCCTGAGAGCATGAATGGGGGTCCTCTGAGTGTCCTCTTTGCTTTGTGCCCCTTTCAAAAGCTTTCCATCAGACTAGGGTGGGATGCGGTGGGGGCTGGACTCCTTCTGCTGGAAACTCCCTCCCATACGTCCGCCCTTTAGTGATGAAAAAGAGCCAGAGGGTTGGTCCAGCAGAGGAGGAAAGGAGTCTGGGAGGGACTTGGAAGGAGGGGCGGGCCCAGAAGATGCTAGGTACCACCTCTCAGTCCTTCAAGACCTCAGTCCCAGGAGTCCCAGGAAAAAAAAAAACCGACCTCTTGTTCATCCTCCCACTGCCTGGAAGGCATGAAGAGGAAAGATGAGGATCAGAAAAGAGAAATGACCCACCCCGGTTTACATGAAGAGTAAAGGGTAGAGTCAGAATGAGGACACAGAGATCCAATTTCTCAGGCTCAGGGGAGGCTGTGTGAGTCCAAATCCAACCAACCCTGAGGCCAGAGGTCAGGGCCACACTTGCCTTGGCCAGCTCAAACATGGCCTGCAGGGCAGGGAT